GGGGGGCCCTGAGACCCCACCCCACGGTGGATGGGGACACCACGGAGATGGGGGGCCCTGAGAGCCAGCCCCACGGCAATGGGGGTGTCAGGCAGAGGGGACCAGGGGGGTCAGCCCTCTGTGTTGTTTTGGGGTGGGGAGGGTATTTTGGGGGGAGATCACCCCCCAGGCGAGGGCTGTACCCCCCAAGCTGTGGGGTGCAATGGGGAGACACCCTGCATGGGGTGTCCGTCCTTTGGGGGGCTGGGAGCGGATGTGGGGTGCCCGCTGTGGCCAGCACCCCATCCTGCACCCCATGCCTCGCCGCGCTCCCCGCCACCGTCGTTGCTTCCTCCTCCCGCGCCCGCCCTGCCGTGGGGCCCCGCTGTCCCCCCACTCCCTGGGGACCTCCCTGCCCCGGTGTCAGCTCCCCCCGGGGCAGTGGGGGTCCCAGCAGCCCCCCACCCTGCACCCCGGGCCCCAGCGTGGGGTGGGCAGCCGTGGCAGGGAGGCTCGGCGGGGATTTAGCGGGGATTACGAAGCCATCAGATAAAACCCTTGGGAGGGAGAGAAGGGATTAATTTTATTTTTACTCTGGTGGAAGGAGGCAGGGGGGGCAGGGGTCCCCAACTGGGGCCTGTCCCCCTCTCTGGGGACACCACAGCCGGGCACCAGGCACCCCTGGGGTCTGAGGGGTCGAGGGGAGGCGGAGGGGCCGGGGCTGCCATCCCGGGAAGGGACGGAGCTGGGAGTCTGTGGATTGGGGGCCAGGCGTGACGCCAGGGTGATGGGCAACAGCCACCTTTGGGCCCCCTGCTGAGCCCCGAGATGCTCAGACCTGCCGCAGGACGAAGGCTGGGGCCATAAAACCCTGTCCCGTCCCTGTCAGCTCCCCGTCCCCTCCCTCCAGCCAAGCCCAGCAATCCCTTAATTCCCCGGCCGTGCGCGGCCAGATGTGAGACGAGCTCGGTGTCCCCCCCCCGCTGGGCCACCGCGTCCCCATACCTGCTCCCGCCATGTCCCCCTCTGATGCTGCCGAGCTGGGCTGGCTGGTGGCCACCGTGGCCCTGCGGGGTGGCTGTCACCCGGGGGGTGTCCCCAGGGTCCCTGGGTGTGGGCAGGGGGATGCCCCCCCTGAGCCGCTGCCCACTTTACCCCACAGAAGCAGGACACGGACGATGACACCGAGGAGCTGGAGATCGCCGTGGACAACACGGCGTTCATGGACGAGTTCTTCTCAGAGGTGAGGGAGGGCGGGCGTGGGGCCGGGGGGCGCGGGGCTGCCAGCGGCCTGCCCCTGACCCCCCCCCCCCCATCATCCCCGGCTTGTCTAGATCGAGGAGACCCGGCAAAACATCGACAAGATCTCGGAGAACGTGGAGGAGGCCAAGAAGATCTACAGCATCATCCTCTCGGCCCCCATCCCTGAGCAGAGTGAGTGCGGCGGCCACGTGTCCCCCTCCCCAGGTCACGGGTCCCCTTCCCGGGGACATTCCCACGGTGGCTTTCCCATCTCATGTGCCGTGACCCCACAGAGACCAAAGACGAGCTGGAGCAGCTGACGGCGGAGATCAAGAAAATGGCCAACAGCGTCTGTAACAAGCTAAAGAGTAAGTGGCCGCGTCCCCGCCGCCGTGACACCCAGCCCCGCGGGTCCCCCTGTCCCCATGGGAAGGGCAGGGTGTGCTGGGGACACTGGGGCGGGTGGGGAAGGTCCCTGACAGGCTGGGATCCGGCTCCCGCCAGGCATGGAGAGGAACATCGAGCAGGACGAGGCACGATCCTCCGCTGACCTCCGGATACGCAAGTCCCAGGTGAGCTCCGGTCCCCGGCACCCGCTGCCGGGGCTGTCCCCACGCAGCACCCCCAGGTCCTGAGCACCCCGTCCCACCCTGTCCCCCACGGGCTGGAGATGTGGCATGTCCCAGGTGTCCCCAGGTCTCCCATCTCTGTCCCCAGCACCCCGTCCCAGGCTTTGTGTCCCTCTGTCCTGTCCCCAACACACTGTCCCCCATGGGCTGGGACATGCCGTATCCTGGGTCCCTTGGGTCTCATGGCCCTGTCCCCTTGTCCTGTCCTATCTCCTGGGGCTGGGGACACGCCATGCCCGGAGTGTCACTGCTCTGACTCCCCATCCCCATCTTTTCCCCTGGGCTGGGGCCGTGCCATGCCGGGGGTGGCCCCAGCGTCACACCCCTGTCCTTGCTCCTGTCCCCCGGGTCTGGCACGTGTCTTGCCTGGGGTGTCCCTGTCCCCCGGGGCTGGGACATGCCATGCCCAGGGTGTCCCCAGCCTCAAGCCCCTGTCCTTGGTCCTGTCGCCTAGGAAAATGGCCCATGGGGACACGTCATGCCCAGGGTGTCCCACGTCCCCATCCCTGTCCACAGCAATGGGTCCTGTCCCCCGGGGTTGGACATGCCATGCCCAGGGTGTCCCCTGTCCCTGTCCCTGTTCCCAGCACTCGGTCCTGTCCCCTGGGGCTGGGACATGCCATGCCTGGGGTGTCCCGTGTCCCCATCCCTGTCCCCAGCAGTGGGTCCTCTCCCCTGGGGTTGGGACATGCCATGCCCAGGGTGTCCCATGTCCTTGTCCCTGTCCCCAGCAGTTGGTCCTGTCCCCTGGGGTCCCGTGAGGTGCCATGCCCGGGGTGTCCCCAGCCCCATGTCCTTGTCCCTGTCCCCAGCGCTGGGTCCTCTCCCCTGGGGTTGGGACATGCCATGCCTGGGGTGTCCCTGTCCCCATCCCTGTCCCCAGCACTGGGTCCTGTCCCCTGGGGGCTGGGGAGGTGCCATGCCCAGGGTGTCCCCAGCCCCATGTCCCTGTCCCTGTCCCCAGCACTCGGTCCTGTCCCGCAAGTTCGTTGACGTCATGACCAAGTACAACGAGGCGCAGGTCGACTTCCGGGAGCGCAGCAAGGGCCGGATCCAGCGCCAGCTCGAGATCAGTGCGTGCCCCCGCCCCCTCAGGCCCCGCCCCTCGGGCGAAATGGGCGGGGTCTTCCCACTTGACCACACCCGTTTGGTGAAACGGGTGGTGCCAGACCCCAAAGACCCCGCCCGCTTTGGCAAAGTGGGTGGAGCCCTCCCCTACAGACCCCGCCCCTTTGGTGAAATGGGCGGGACCAGGCACTGCAGACCCCGCCCCTTTTGATTGAGTGGGCGGGGCCTGTGCCCACCGCTCACCCCCCTCCCCGTTCCCGCAGCCGGCAAGAACACGACGGACGAGGAGCTGGAGGAGATGCTGGAGAGCGGGAACCCCTCCATCTTCACCTCGGGGGTGAGCGCCCGCCACGCCGGGGGGCCGGGGGGGACACCGGGGACCAGGACACCCCTGCTGACGGCCACCGTCCCCTTCCCTGTCCTGTCCCGTTGCAGATCATGGACTCGCAGATCTCGAAGCAGGCGCTGAGTGAGATTGAGGGGCGGCACAAGGACATTGTGCGGCTGGAGAGCAGCATCAAGGAGCTCCACGACATGTTCGTCGACATCGCCATGCTGGTGGAGAACCAGGTACGGGCTGCACGGGGACGGACAGGGACCCACACATCAGGCTGCATGGGGACGAGCAGGGACCTGTGCGTGGGGACGAGCAGAGACCTGTGCATGGGCTGCATGGGGATGAGCAGCGACCTGTGCATGGGGACGAGCAGGGACCTGTCTGTAGGCTGCATGCGGACGGGCAGGGACCTGTGCATGGGGACGAACAGGGACCCACACATCAGGCTGCATGAGGACAAGCAGGGACCTGTGCGTGGGCTGCACAGGGATGAGAGGGACCTGCGCATGGGGACAAGCAGGGACCTGCGCATGGGCTGCACAGGGACAAGCAAGGACCTGTGCATGGGGACAAGCAGGGACCTGTGCGTGGGCCGCATGGGGACAAGCAGGGACCTGCGCATGGGCTGCGCAGGGACGAGCAGGGACCTGCGCATGGGGACGGGCAGGGACCTGTGCGTGGGCCGCATGGGGACAAGCAGGGACCTGTGCATGGGCTGCATGGGGACGAGCAGGGACCTGTGCATGGGGACAAGCAGGGACCTGTGCGTGGGGACAAGCAGGGACCTGTGCGTGGGCTGCATGGGGATGAGCAGGGACCTGCACATGAGGATGAGGAGGGACCTGTGCATGAAGCCGCCCAGGGAGTGGCACGCAAGGCTGCACGGGGCTCCACGGGGACACAGGGTGGCACGGAGCCACGTGGGCACCTGCATGGGGCCACACAGGGCAGCACAGGGACCCATGCAGTGGGACCCAGGCACGGGGCCATGCGGGGTCTACAGGTCCCCGTGGGGCCACCCAGCACCCGAGCCTGTGGGGACCTGGCGGGGGAGGCAGGGGTGCGCCCCACAGCGCGGTGGTCCCGGCCCCTCTCTCAGCCCCTCTCTGTCCCCCCCATGCAATGCGAGGAGCCACTGCGTGCACCGGGGAAGGGTGAGTACCTGCGCCGTGGGACTGTGCCACATGCCGTGGGGCCGCGTCATGGGGTCCCTGCTGAGCGCGTCCCCTCTCCTGTCCCCGCAGGGTGGGCTGCTGGATAACGTGGAGCAGTACGTGATGCACACGGCCGAGCACGTGGAGCAGGCGAACCAGCAGACAAAGAAGGCGCTCCAGTACCAGGGCCAGGCGCGCAAGGTGGGTGGGTGCCAGCACCCCTGGGTGCTCTCAGCGTGTCCCCCCTCTCTTTCTGTCTCTCTCTGCCTCCGCCCCGCCGCCCCCCGCGCCCCGTAGGGAGCCATGATCGACCGCATAGAGAACAACATGGACCAGTCCGTTGGCTTCGTGGAGCGGGCCGTGGCCGACACCAAAAAGGCCGTGAAGTACCAAAGTGAGGCCAGGAGGGTGAGACGGACCGACGGCCCCAGTGTTCCCCAGTGTCCCCTCCATAGCCCCCAGCATCCCAAAGGCACCCCCAGTGTCCCCCTCTGTCCCTCAGCATGCCTTCACATCTCCCAGTGCCCCCAGTATCTTCCAGTGGCCCTGAGACCCCCTTGTGAACCTAGCTGCCTCTTGTGTCCCCCAGCCACCCCTTCTGTCCCCTAGCCACCTCCCGGGTCCCC